CAAATGACTAGGTCATTCGCTGGTCATTCAGAGGTCATTTCAAAATTATCAAATGACCTGGTCATTTGCCATCACTGTCACAAACCACGTGAAACATATTATAACAGCGCTATTCAGAATTTTTATCTCAATTTGCGATCGATACACTTCTTAACACAACCCACATCGTAGGTTTCAGGGAGAATGCACAACAAATCAACAGAATGATATGTAACATGCTTCTGGTTCATTGTGATCAATTTCTAATTTCACAAGCATCCGATTTTGTTAGCTCTGCAGGTTAGGACCCTTCACTCTCTAACAAGATGTTCAAACTGAAGACAAACCTTCTCTCAAGTGTACGTCTCCAGCCAAGTGCGCGCGTCATGTACCTTAACAACTCACTGATTGATCAAAGTATATGCAATAGAACCGTGGGTGTGATCACGGATGTTGATGTCCAGCATAGATGTGTCCGGGTTGCTTTCTCCGTTAGGGGTTCTTTGGTTGATGCTGACATATATGAAGTGATTCATTACTTTAGCATAAACGGAAACCGCTGTTCCCGATCACAATTCCCACTACAAAATTCATTTGCCTTGACAGTTCATAAAACCCAAGGGTTGACTCTACCAAAGGTATCCCTCTCTTTAGATGGAAATATCTTTGCTTCCGATCAGGCTTACGTTGCACTCATCAGATGTTCCACCTGGAAAAACATTGAGATATCTCACCTTGACAGATCGGCATTCATCCCAATGTCATTTCGGAGTACCAAAGGTTAACTGACATTTCTTACATGAATCCCCACCTGTTCTCATGAAAATTACATCTCATTTAATTAACATTTATTTTAAATAAAGTAACACTTTATCTCGTAATAAACACAACTTTATTTTCGTTCTATCTTATTTATTTATTACATAATATTTATTTAAAAATTATTTAATTGAAATTAAAATAAATTATTTAAAAAATACTGTATGCTAAATAAAATCTTCGATGATCGTTAGATTCTGTCTGTGTCCTGTGTCCCATAGGTACTGGATTAAAGGTACTGGCTAGTTGATTAATTAAAATTAATGATATGAATTTTATATAAATCACATGATTTTAAATAGAACACGTGAATTTATTGTAACCAAAAATTGAGAACTTTTTAAATGAAGTAGTTTTATTATTAGATTGTATAGAAGTACCATTAATATAATTCGGATTTTGTAATTTTATTCTGACTATTTGTAATCAAATAAAAAAAAAATTTGATAATTCGATGATTTTCTAAAAAATTTTCAAGAACATTTGTAATAATATATAATTCACGATTTAAAAAATTTTTTTTTCAGAAAATTAACGTTCCAGGAGTTTCTTTTATTCTTTTAAAAAGATTAAAAAATTTTTTCATTGCTGATCATTTGTGATACCTTCATTAATTAATGTACAATTATGCAACTCAAAAAAAAAAAATTATTTTTTCAGAAACAATACGTAAGAATATCTAACAACGGATTCACTTTTCCATAATTAAACGAGATAACTCAAAAATAAACTCATTTTATTTTTTGTAATCATCAAACTTTCCAAGACATTCTTTTGCTTTAAGATTTCCGATTGTAGTATGCGTATTGTTACAAATGACCTAAAAGACATATGACCTCAATAAAAGGTCATTTCAAAATGGCCAAACGAGGTCATTGCAATATCGCGTGACTAAATCCTTTTTTCTTGCTGCTTTTATTTCTTAGTTGTGTTTATAATTTTTTCAATTGTTATATTTACAACTTCAACGAAAATTTTATTTCACTTAAATTTACAACTTCAACGAAACTTCTATTTTACCTAAAAATGGATAATTCACCATCTGCTACATGCTCGACCAGTGTTGGAAAATGACCTTGAAATGACCCAAATGACATCATTTTTATTATAGATTTCAAGTCAAAATGACCAAAAGTCATTTAAAATATTAAATGACATAATTTGCCATCACTGTACTCGACTGGCACTGACAACAGCTCAAAGGGAAAGGTACCTATGAAACTTTGGTAGTGCTAGAGAATAAATTCGTTCTTGCTACCAAGTTGTTAGATTTGTTTTGCCAAATATCAAATATTTCAGGACCAAGATATGAATTGTTCAATGATGGTCATGCTTTAGAATAACACTACGTCGCGGATATTTTAATTGAAGAAGAACGATTTAAGGGAGAAAATTTTTTTCGGATCCTCTTGAAGCTCAAGAATGTGTTGCAGAGATGACGTTCGATGTACTAAAGGTGATGAAAAAGCTCGAACCACCTCAGTAGCCCATGGAACCATATTTTTAGAAAAACTTTTTGATAAAGTTGGTTGGGGCCGTATCGAATATCCGGTTGATAAAACCTCAAAGGATAACTGAAAACATTAATAATGCTCAGTTTGCTGCTGATAATGAAGTATTTCAATTACTTAAGGGATTACAAGGAGTATTTCGATCTGTAGGATTTACTTCAGGACCACGTGAAACAAAATTTGTTGATTTATCTACCTTTAAAGGAGGAGATCATATGTACATGCCATGCTAAAAAATTAAGATTCATCTCGAATATTTGTAAAGGATCAAGCAGCTAGGATGGCATTTTTGACGTTGGATCTCAAGTAGCTGACAAGTATCATTTGTCAAATTTACGACAGAATACTAGGGTTGAAATCTTCAATAGATTAAGTACGATGATTGCAAAGCATCTTTTATTTAACGATGCCTGGAAATGGAATGATCTTAAATATGATATGGATTTCATCGTAGAAAATTTTCAAAAAATACAAGAAACCCTGAATTTAAAAAGTTGTCGGCTGAACTGCGGAGTTATCCTGAAATTATCCGGTTCAGATAATGTAATTATAAGGGTTATCCTGCGGGAATCGAAATCTTTCAAGAAATTGTGGATAATTTGTTGAAAAGTCAAATATTGGCATTTGTTTATAAAATAGCGATCATGTGAAGTAAGCTATTAAATCACGTTAAGGATCATATGATTTACTATGTTATTATTTTAATAGAAAACTTCCCATATTTTTTCATAATTTTTTTAGTTTTTTAACAAGAAAAATTTTTTTTTTTATTTTTATTAATTAAAAAGATTTTTTAATAAAAAATAATTTTGGATTAGAAGGTTCATTTTTAAAAAAAAATTATATTAAAGCTTTTATTTAATTTTAAATTTGTAGATAAAATACAATAAAAGGATTGGAAATTCACTCTAATGCTTCCTCCCATTTACAATTGATCCGATCAATTTTCTTTCATTACTTTAATTACCGATCTGCCAATCGCTCCATGTGTTATAGATTTTTCATCTGGCTTGCTAAATAAGATCGATGCGTCGTTAGAAACATTTTGATTTTTTTTTTGGTTCCGTTAAATGAAAAAAAACTTACAAACAATTATTTTTGTGCCTCTCTAGTCTTCCATGTATCTCGTATTTTTGGCACGAATGAAATTAACTAATATAATAAATAAAATTATGAGGTAAGATTATCATGTTAAAAATGTTTATCGTTTGTAATAATTTAAAATAGAAAAAAATATGTGCCTGTTCTTCAGTGATCCCATCAAATACACTTTGTTCTATTTTTTCAATTACAGTATGATGATTTGCGCGTGGTTGATCATCACGAAACCTTTTAAATCTCCATGGTGGATGAATTGAAGGGTTATAAACTACTTCAACAATACGTCCTTCATATTGTTGAAAATCATGTTTCCAACTTATGCGAATGAAACATTTGGTTAATCAACATTGTTGTCTATGAATAAAATCAGTAAAGTCATATTATCAAAATATCTATGAACATCCATCCATTTATAAAGACAAAATCTCGGTTTATTATTCTTATGGCGTTTAAAATCGAAACTTAATTTAAGGTCAATAGAATTTTCATTTGGTGGTTTCCATTTTAATATTTTCTCTGCCGAATAACCCGATGTTGATGATGTAAAAATTAGCCCATCGCAGTTGTGCTTTAAAGATGGTATGATTTGTTTTAAAACTTTTTCCAGTCCATAAGAACGTTCCATTTCTTTATTTACTACACTTTATGAATTAAAATTTTTTCATGTATAGAAAAACAAAAAGGTTAGAATTGATCATTTAAGTGACAGGTAATTTGAAAAAATAATACAATAACACTTCCTTATATGGTTGAATAATCGCAAGGTCCGGACGTTTACGCAGCATTTTTTCATAGGGGCTCATAATATAATCACGAAGATACTTTTAAAAATTAAAGAATTGTCAATTAATATAAATAGAATTATAATATAAGTTTCCATAATCTATGCAACTTACACCCAATCTTTTGTTTAGAGGCTTATTCATGTAGTTCTTTTATCCATTACTTTGGCGTAATCTAAATAAGAAAGAACAATAAAACATCAATGAAACATCAACGAAAACTTATTATTTCAAAAATTAGATAATAAAAATATTTACACGCCCATCGCTTTCGGTTTCATAAACTAATTCACAATCAATAACGTTTCATAATGAAACTTTGAAAAGCTTTCGTCACCAGGAACAGGAAACAATAATTTTGGTATTAGGTGATAGTAATTTTTGCGATCGATCTGTATTATCTTCGTTTAGTAAGTGAATTCTTAAGCCATTAAAAGTAAAAAGCAGATCAAACCTTTAATAAAATAATAATACTGACCAAAAAAAACGGCTGGTTTTCCAGGACTATCACATGTAATATAAGCTAATACACGCGTTCCGTCCGATTGCTCACAAACATAATAACTAAAAAAAAGATCAACGATTTAAGTTATTTATTTTTCAAAAAGAAAATTATTATGAATTACTAACTCTTCATTTTGCAATTCCTGTATATGCTTGGAATAGAAACTAGTTGGTTGCGCACCTGTTAAAAAAAAAAAAGTGTTAGTGATCTTGGTAATTATTAGGATGGATAAATAAAATGAATATCACACATACCAGGGAAACTATAAAAAAAATATATAATAAGAAAATTTGATTTGATAAGAAAATAAATCAGTTTTTTAATAGGAGAATAATCAAATGAAAACTATACTAAAGAACGGTTATGTGACATAAAAATGCCAAATTCAGTTGATAATTATTTCGTTATTTCTGCCAATAACCGCTCCGAATACTTTGAATTAAAAAACAAAATAAACTACTAACTTTGATACTCCACTAACACTTCAACTCTTGACCTTAGTTCTTTAAGGCGTATAGTTTCAGGATGTCCTGGGACTCTTGGTACTATTGGAAAAAGAAAATGGAATCATTAAGGAGTGATCTGAGCAATAAGTATCATCATTGCGGATTTTAATACTAGACTAGTAATACAAATCTAGTATAAAAGAAATCAACACCCTCAAGTCTCTTTTTTTGAACATAAGCAAATTGCATTCTTACGGCTTTTTATTGGACCATATATTTTG